CACACACACACACACACACACACACACACACACACACACACACACGCCCGGCTGGTTGAATGGGATAATTACAGCTAGAAATCTGAATCATGATTTATTTATTTATTTTAGCTTTGCAATTCTCACCGTGATGCGAATATTCTTTATTCGTAGGTATTGGTGCTTATAGATATCAATGTTTATAGATACCGATGCTTATCTTGGGCTGTTCCTTGAGAAAATCGACAGAGGCTGAGATGGCTTAGGAGAGCGAGGCGCCGCAGCCATCCTTTGTCCTAGGAGGAGGGCGTGGCCGTCGCGGAAAGTAAACATTCATACGTGGAGGATTTAATGCCCCTTGTAAGAAGGAGCGGAAGTCTCTCTTTGGGCGAGAGGCGTTTTAAGGAGCCCAGCCCTCCCCGACGGAGGAGACAACACACGGCACAATGGCACTCGATCAAAGGAAGTCATCCTCTTCCGTTCTTCGTCTTCTTGTTCTTGTTCTTTTTATTCTTATTTTTCTTCTTCATCTTTTCCTCTACCTCCTCTTCCTTCTTCTTCTTCTTCTTCTCCTCTTCCTTCTTCTTCTTCTTTTCCCCCTCCTCCTTCTCCTCTTGCTTCTTCTCGTCTTCCTTCTTCTTCTTCTCTTCCTCCTTCTCCTCTTGCTTCTTCTCGTCTTACTTCTTCTTCATCGTCTCCTCTTCCTCCTGAGCCATCGTATTTTTATTTGTCTGTGGCAGACTGTGTATATGTATCTTGGATAGTTATCAATATCACTATCCTCCTATCATCTCTTTTTCTTCCTCTTTCTCCTCTTAACCTTTATTCTTTTTTCCGTTTTTCTCTCTCCTCCCCTCTTCCAGCTCCTATCCCTTATCCTCCCCCTTCTGTTTCTTCTCCCCCTACTCTCCCCTCTTCTCCTCTAACTCCCCTCTCCTCCTCCTCCCCGCCCTCTTTCCCCCTAACCCCCCACCCAACCTACCCCCCTCACACACACACACACAACCACACACACAACACACACACCCACACACACACACAACACACACACCCACACAACACCACAACACACACACAACACACACACACACACACACACACACACACACACACACACACACACACACACACACACACAACACACACCACACACACACACACACACACACACACACACACACACACACACACAACACACACACACACACACACACACACACACACACAACACACACACACAGCCCCTCCCGCACCATTGCTTCCTCCGCGACAGAAGCCCGCAACAGCTGGCGGTGCATGAGAGTGCATGAAAGCAGGCGCGGTGTTGTATCAGCCGAGCGGTCGCTGTTCAAGGGATACCCCGGCTTAGGAGATCTGGTCGCGATGGCCAAGTTTCGCGGCTCCGATTTCGGTTGGATTGGCGTCGGGATTTAGGGGCGAAGGTCGGCGCTGGTGCGACGGGGATGGGCGGTGTCATATAGTGGTTAATGCTGCTAATTCATATTACATACATAGGCGTCTATCTGTCTATCTATATGTATGTTCGTGTGTGTGTGTGTGTGTGTGTGTGTGTGTGTGTGTGTGTGTGTGTGTGTGTGTGTGTGTGTGTGTGTGTGTTGTATCTGTGTGCGCGAAAAAAATACCATGCCTTTGATTGCAATCGCAGAACTGTCGGTGATGTAATTATTTGTCAACGACAATAATAAAAAAAACACGGCGATTAGTGTACTATATCTGTTATTACAACCACATCTGCTATTACTTATAATGAGCTGCTGTTTCGAACATTACTTTTTTCCAACTCAGTCCGGTAGTTGGTTGCCGTAGAGGGAATTAATGGGCAGGCAGAATTGGGTGGGAGGAGCGCTGGTAAACAATGGGTCAGACCCCGACCCCAGAAGGCAGTGCTTGGCGGATTAGCAGACCCCGAGGCGAGTCGCACGGCTTCCCGCGGGCTGAGGCGTGCGTTTGCTTGTTCGGCTTCCGAGCGTGTGCTTGCGGGCGGGCGCTCGGGTCTGGCTCTCTGGCCTGGCTTCTCTCTGTGGGAGTTTTCTCTCTTTTGGGTCTCTCTCTCTCTCTCTCTTTGGATCTCTGGCTCGCTTTCTGGAGCTCTCTCTCTCTCTCTCTCTTCTCTCCTCTCTCTCTCTCTCTCTCTCTCTCTCTCTCTCTCTCTCTCTCTCTTCTCTCTCTCTTCTCTCTCTCTCTCTCTCTCTCTCTCTCTCTCTCTCTCTCTCTCTCTCTCTCTCTCTCTCGTCTCTCTCTCTCTCTCTCTCTCTCTCTCTCTCTCTGTTCGTGTGTGTGTTGTGTGTGAATGTGTGTGTGTGTATGCATGTGCGTATATAGGCGCGCGCATAAGCGCGCGCACACACACACACACACACACACACACACACACACACACACACACACACACACACACACACACACACACACACACACACACTGAGCATCTATCTATTCATCTCTTTCCCTTGCTGTGTGCATAAAGGACCGTGTGTGTGTGTGTGCGGGTGTGGGTGTAGACATGGCAGTAGTCCAATGCTTAAAGTTTCTTGACATTTAAAGGGAAACAAAAGTTCCGAGTCCCGCACTTGGCCTTTTCTCTCTCCTGAACGTAAAAGAGAGACTCTACTCGCGGCATGAATGGGGATCGATGACAGCGCGTACTATTTCGGAGATTTAAATACCCGAATGATGCTGTTTCGCGTTGGAGGTTGTCGCCGATTAAGGGAAAATGCTGTGTGACGGAAGGTTAATTGGTATATGATGAGTTGTAGGAGATAATGCTTCGTTTAATAACAAGGGCTATATAAGGACTATAAGTACTTGTATAGACCTTGATTTGTAAGCGAAATATGAAATAAAGATTATGAGTGGTTGTCCGATAACGATGTGAAGTCACGAGTAATATTCCCATCGGGTTCTAAAAATAAGACCGTTATCGAATAACATTTGGGATTTATTTTTACTGCAGTAATCGGTTCAGCCACACGTAAAACAAAATAAAAATAAAAATACAATGGAGAAAACAAGGGGAGTATCAGTTACTGTCAGCGTGTCTACTGTTACGTAGCAGCCACACACTCGGTGGCGCGGAGTCTCTCAGGTGCAGGCAGACTCGGGTCGTCAGTGTGGCTCTGGAGATGGGAGGGTGAGGACTATGTGCGAGTGCTCGGCGGATCCTGTCACGTGCAGTGTGCGGAGCTGCCCAGTTACTCGGGCGATTTTGTTTATTTGTTGACCCTACCCTCTTTTGTGATTGTTTACCTTTTTTTTTGTCGTGGATGACAGTTCAGTGGTGAAGGTGTGGTGTATACCGTGTGCCTTATGGTGGTGTGATGAATGATTTTGGTCCCAATTAGATGACGATTTGATATCTTGTAAATCCGTAATCACTACGACTACTTGTGAGTGAGATTAGATTTATAGTGCATCCATTCGAGAGAGAAAATTCCGACGCTTAAATTATTTTGAAAAGTAAATTACAATTCGGAAGGAAGAACCTAAATGTGATGTGAAAAGGAATACATGTTTCGTATCAAGAGAAAAAGTTTGTGATATCCATTCCCCTAGAAGTATAGAATATTTATAAGCTCCAAACGTCAACGACACCGAACTGAATCGAAATAGAGCGAAAATATCTGAGCGTTGAACATAACGTAACAGTTGCGACGACTACAGGAAGCCAAAGTTGATTATGTGACGGTGATTTTCATCGTCGTCACGTTAAACACTTGCCTGTGCCGCCCCTCGCAGCTGTCCTTCGCGAAAGGATCGACTGCGAAGGAGGTTATTATCACGACATTCACGCCCGAGTCCCAGAGGGCATCGAGGAAGGCAGCGAATGCAGTTTCCACGTTAGCAGGTACCAGGTACTGCTGGAAGGATCAGCGGAAGTTGCTGTGGGCTTGCCTCGCAGACCTTCGTGCCGTGTCACGTTGTCTCACGGAATGGCTGTGCTGGTATTGTTTTGTAAATTGTCTGTTGGATTTTAGTTGAGAGAAAGTTGAGGCATCTTTCCCTACGTTTAAAGAATCGGTTTTGGTCGCGAGAAGCGCCGTTCGTCAACATGCCCGTCAAGAACCCGAGCACGACGACGTGGTACCGTCTGCCTCCCTCCCAGTCGCACGCCTCGCCGCGACACCCGCCGCAGCCCTCCAAGGCGCCGCAGACGCAGACGGCGACGTCGACTCCCCAGACTCTGGTGACTTCCCCCAAACACGCGCCCTCCCCCAACTTCACGCCGGGGCTTCAAATCAAACCACCCTCGGCCTCGCAAGGGGCGTCGCAGATCCCCGGAGTGCGGACGCCCACGAGCCACTCCGGCCAGACGTCTCCTGTCTTGCCTTCCAAGCTGCCGACGTCGACCTCCAGTTCAGCGAACTCGTCCCCCAAGAAGACAGCTGCATCTCAGGCTTCCAAGATCGCGTCGCCGACCCTGGCGTCGCCCACGAGGCTGAAACATGCCGACAGACTCCCGCCCTTGCCGAGGAGCAGCTCCGGCCCGGATCAGAGCGTGGCGCCTCCTGGCCGGCCCGTGACCCCGAATCTGAAGCCGAAAGGGAGAGAGAGAATAACGAAGGCCAATGAGAACAGGCCCAGGAAGATCAGCGAAAACACCGTGGCCAGAATAGAAAACAAGGACGTGAAAAAGAAGGAGAAGAATGACGGCAAGAGACCGCGAGACCCCGAGGTGCCCAAGAAGAAGCAGGCGGGGGACGCCAAGGCGGAGCCCAAGACCATCCCGAAGAGGAAGAAGTCGGAGAGGAGCAACTCGGACAACGAGATCAAGCCCAAGAAGATGGTCGCCAAGGAGCACCCTGCCCTCCACGCCAAGGCCGAGGAGCCTCACGAGAAGACCGTCGCGAGGCAGGCTCGGGGAAGGACGCCGGAAAAAGTTCCCCCGCACGCCAAGGAGCCGCGAAGAATTCCTCCGGCGCCGAAATTATCCCACCTGCGACCGCAGCAGTTGCGCAAGGAGACGGCGAAATGCGCGGGGAAACTGCCGAGAGACGTGGTTTCGCGAAAGGAGCCGGATAAAGAGGAGGGAAAGAAAAAGCAGGACGCGGGGACTGCCGTCGTCCTAGCGAAGGAAGAGAAGAAGAAAGGGGAGGAAAGCATCGTTGCTAACACCGGCGACGAGCAGAAAGAGGACGACGATGAGCTGGAAGAAGACGAGTCGATCGAAGGGGAGTACACCCTTAAGGACGACGACACGACGGTAATCGACGACGCGCTCTCGAGTGAGCCGGTCGAAGGCGACACGGGCACAGACGTCAGCGGCGGGGACTTCGACATGAGCAGCGCGGAGGGAGCGGCCAAAGGAGGCCAAGAGGGAGATAAAGGAGGAGAGGCGCCCGCGGTCAATTGCCCTCCCAGAGAGGGCGAAAGTGAGGCGCTGCAACGAGATGATTGCGCGCTCGAAGAGGACCGCCGGAGCGCCGTCGACATGAACGACAGCAGCTTGTCAGAAAGCCTCTTCACGATAGAAGACAGCGACAGGTCGGGGGCCTTCAAGGACGACTGCTCCACTAAGTACTTCTCGACGGTGGACGACGACCTGAGCATGAAGGAGGTGTCCATAGACGAGGATCACAGCCTGGATATCGCCATGAGTGACGACCAGAGCATGAAGGACGACCTAGACGACCAAGGGATGAGGGACGACATTTTTGACGACCTCATGATGAAGGACTACCTCCTGGACGAGCATGGTATGAAGGAGAGCCTAATGGACGACTTTGCTGAGAAGACCGGCCCCGCTGACGACCCGAGAGGAAAGCACCTTGCCGTCGACGACCCAGGGATAAAAGACGGTGCTTCACCCGACCAGGAAATGAAAGACAGTGCTTCAGTCGATCAAGAAATGAAAGAAACTCCTCCAGACGACCACGGAATGAAAGAAGTAGATCCCGCAGAAGAGCAAGGGATCCACGAAGACCAGGCCATGAGGGAAGAAAGTGCTATGGGCGAGGAGAGTCCGCTGAAAGAGGCTGCTGAGAACGGCAACGCCCCTGAAAGCTTAATCGTTACGGATAAAGAGGAACTGATCTCGGATAAGAAGGAAGACACAGAAGCCAAAGAAAATGCCCCCGTGAATGAAGACGAATCGAGGCAGCCGATGGAAGGCGATAAAGATGGCAACACAGAGAACGAGAAGATGGAGGAAAATGCAGTTGCGGAAAAGGAGCCAGACCAGACGCCAGTATTGCCGCAGGAAGTTGCGAGTGAAATCAACGAAAAGAACGATGGCGAAGCGGTGAAAGAAGATGCGAAGATCGAGGAAGAGCAAGGGACGACGACGAAAGAGGAGGAAACGAAAGTGACGGAGAGGAGAAGCAAGAGGAAAATGGAGACGGAGAGGGCCCGAGGAGGGACGAAGAAACCTGCTCGAGTGTTCGTGGATAAAGGTAAATATTCAGAATTATAAACGTCAATACTTTGTGTCGCTTTTTCGTTGCTAGTTTGTCTTTGGAAGAGAAAAAAAAGTTGATATTAAACCCATTGGAGATTAAAATTGATTAGTCTGGTGCACTTCCAAATTATTTTAAGTAAAAAAAAGTTCTTGTGATTTGATGTGGCAAAAATGTAATGTGATCTAAACGTGGTTAGGAATTGTATATGTTTGCTTAAAGTGGATGTGGTGATTTAATGTTAAGAGAAATGCTTTATCTTACACGTTGAGATACACGTTTTATGACTGACTGTGTGTATGGCTGTACGGACGAGCGTTACATACACTAACCTTTAAATATACAAAGAGAACGCCCGCATCATTCTGTGTATGTCGGTCCGCCTTGGCTTCCCTGTCGGAATGAATGAACACATGAAATATGGTTTACGTCTCTGGCTGTCCGTGGAATGTTTACACGCGCACACGCTTCTGTTTGTACACGCATGGCCATCTGCTTGCCCGTGCGTGTGCAGATGTGCCGCATGACTTCATGATGAGCTCTGGAGGCCCTGTAATGGCGCGGGGAAGTGCAAGCCAGGAGCCAGGGTAGCGTGTTGCAGGTCACGTGTCCACGAGGGCTGTGATGAAGCCTGAATCTCTCGGCATCACGCGAAGACTCAGCCGACGGGAGATTTCACAATATGTATTTTCTTTCGCACTCCTTCCCTTCCCTTTTCCCCCTTTCCTTCCTTTCCCCTTTCCTCTCAATCCGAAGACGTCAGGAGGACGAAAGCGACTCGGAGTGCGACCTTGACCAAAATTGTCAACGGAATGTGTTCAGAATCGGTGCAGTTTGTTTTTACAACTGTTGAACGATCTGTTACGCAATGCCCTCGTGGCCTTGCTCCCGGGGCTCACTTCAGGACCTGAACTGGAAGCTTTATTTACTTTAATAGCTACCAAGTAGCAGTTTCTTCTTTTTTCCTTTTTGTCTCCCTGTCTTTATAGAAAACGAGAGTAGTTGACAGAATTTTGTGGCACACTGGAGGCTCGAGGTTAAGTCCGTAGTATTTGGGTGATCGTTGTCTATGTAGGTCACCATTGACATGTTGAAATAATCCCGCGTATATGCAAATTGCATCGTTTTTTTTTTTCAATAATTAGCAATTGTTAGAAGCTAAGCATAATGCTTCTTCGACTGCATTAAGTGAAATAATATTTGGTCGGTTTCTTTTAATCTATTTTCTCTTGTAATTATTCCGAGTATAATCCAAGAGGTCCTCCTTTTCCTCCCATTCTTTGTTTTCTTAATCCTGGCGCCTCGGTCAAGATGAATGCGAGGCGTTCAAGCTTAGGGGACACGTGAAGGGTAAACATCAGGCCTGCGATGTTCATCATGTAATGGTCATCATGTAACGGGTTTAAGAATAACTTCGGTGGATTTAAGAGTGACTTCGGCGGATATAAGAGTGAGTTCCGCGGATTTGAGAGTGACTTTGACGGGTTTGAGTGACTCTCGACTTGACCGACGGATTTGAGAGTGACTTCGACGGATATGAATGACCTCGACGGATGTGAGAGTGACTTCGACGGGTTTGAGAGTGACTTCGACGGATTTTGAGGTGAGACTGATTTGAGAGTGACTTCGACGGGTTTGAGAGTGACTTCGACGGATTCGCCACGAACTTAGACACATTAGCCCAGGGCCTAGCTACACGAGCACTGAAGTCGGAGGCCAAGATTGTGTGGGCTTATCGTTGAGTCAGCCTGGCGCAGTATTGATTCCCTTTTGCGAGAATTGAGTCGGGATTGTGTGCGTCCGTCTCGCCGTTCGGTCCAGGCGCTCCTAAGACACCCGCGGCTCGGTTTCCTTCTCGCTATCTCCTCGGAGGGGAAAGGCAGAGGAATAACCTGTGGAGGACGGTAGCGCGATTAAAACGGAGCCTTTCTTGCCCGCCCCCGGAGTATTTCGTTGAGGTATGTGACGGGAGAAGAAGCGCCCCCTGTGCCCGGCGGAGAAGCGCTACTACGCAACCTTGATATAACTGATGCGGTTAGAGGCGCGGGTTGTCTTTCGGCGACCCCTTCGCCTTTTCCCACGGCTGATGCGCCACGGGATGTAGGCGGGACCGACGACGGTGGACGGTGTTGGTGCGCTGGTTGTTTCGTCCGGGAAAATGTTGATCTTGTAGACTTCGGGGTTGTGATGAGCGCTGGTTCGTTCCCCCGCCCTTCGTCCGTTCCGCGCGGCCAGGGAGATCCTCGGCCGGTTGGGAAGTAAGTGTATTAGACGCGGGTTATGTTGTGAGGTGTAATTTTCTCACGCGTTTTCGAGGGTGTGTTGTGAGGCAGTGCGGTTTGTTTTCATGGATAACTGCCTCTATTATGTAATCTCGTTATCGCCTAAGTGCAGTTGCCTTTATTTTATCGAATTCAAACGATTTTATAACGCGTTGCGCTGTATAGAAAGTTTTAAATACAAAGTGGAGTTCGTCTATTTTTTTTTCATTGTCCATTTTTGTTTTCTCTTTTCCTCTGCTTGCAACACGACGCAGCTACTGGCCCACTTTTCGAACAGTGCTTATTGTCTCCATTCATTTCCAACTGTAAAAGAAAAAGAGAAAAAAAAGTTATGGTGAGAAATGTCCTTGAAAAATGTCGGACTCTTTTGTGCGGGTTTGCAGTAGTATGAATTATTTCTCTCTCTCTCTCTCTTTTCTCTTCTCTCTCTCTCTCTCTCTCTCTCTCTCTCTGTCTCTCTGTCTCTCTCTCTCTCTCTCTCTCTGTCTCTTCTCTCTCTTTCTCTCTCTCTCTCTCTCTCTCTCTCTCTCTCTCTTCTCTCTCTCTCTCTCTCTCTCTCTCTCTCTCTCTCTCTCTCTCTCTCTCTCCCTCTCTCCCTCCCTCCCTCTCCCTCCCTCCCTCCCTCCCTCCCTCTCCCTCCTCCCTCCTCCTCCCTCCCTCCCTCCTCTCCTCCCTCCTCCCTTCCTCTTCCTCTCCCTCCCCTTCTCTGCATTCTCCCTTTTTATCGCCGTTGCCTCATCTATCTTCCCTTCGCTCTCCCGAGAAGAGCTGAAGGCGGTGCTACAAAAACCCATGATATATGTGACAATAACGGGAGCTTAATCAACGTGCATATTACGCCGTTGATGCGGGCGTCTTGCCGTAATAAAGCATTTTCCTTTGATGGGCGGCGTAGCTGTGGGTGTCTCGTCCCTTTTTCTGTCCATTTGTCTGTCTCTGTCGGTCTTTTTCCTTTTCGTTCTCTGTATGTCTGTCTTTCAATGTTCTTTCTCTTATCTCTCTTTCTCTCTTTTTCTTTTTCTCTCTTTCCTTTCTCTCTCTCTCTCTCTTTCTACCTGTCTTCCTTTCCTCCCTCCCTCCCTCTTCCTCTCCCTCCTTTCTCCCTCTCTCCCTCTTCCTCTCTCTCTCCCTCTGTCTCTTTCTCCCTTCCCTCCTTTCCTCCCTCCCTCTCCCTCCCTCTTCCTCCCTCTCCCTCCCTCCTTTCCTCCCTCCCTCTTCCTCTCTCTCCCCTTTTGCTCTCACGGCCATATTTTCATTACTCGCCATTCATTTACGGGAAAACGCGTGGGAGTTTTTGCCTTTAATCCGTTCCTCCTCGCCGACTTTATTGGTCTGTCGTCTGTTATTTTCATCATCGTTATCGGCATCATCACTATCGGTTTTATCATTCATTGTTATTGCATCGTCATTTATTATCATCGTCATTATATCATCCTCATCACCATCATTATTATCACCACCATCACTGTTAGTATCACCACCAACACCCCATCACCACCACCACCCTCATCCATCATCATCACGGCAACAGACTTAAATTCCAGTAGATGAAAGCTAATATACCCCTACCCCCCACAAGGCCCCATCTTCATTTCCGCCCCCACCCCCCCACCCCACAAGGCCCCATCTTCATTTCCGCCCCCCCCCCCCTCGCCAGTGTCTTCGGTTGAGGGCGGCCAAGTGGGGCGAACAGTGGCGGGTGGGGGCGGGATGAGCGGGCACCCTCTCGCGCCGTGGCAGACCCCCCGGGAGATCCTCGGGGGGGGGGCGAGGCTAAAAGGGGGAGTGAGGGGAGTGAGGATGCGCGCCGTGTCCTTGGGAGTGCTTGGCGGGCGGCGGTGGTAGCGTATCCTTCATTTTTTATTTTTATTTATTTATTTTTTTATCGGTAGCGAGTGGGCAGTGAAATAAAACGGAAAAAATTAAATGTTGAAAGTTTATTTCTGCCATCATTAGTGAGAGTGATTAAATGGTTCACGCCGGAGTTGGGTGGAGTTTGGAATTAAAACGCGGGTCGCCATTATTACCCTCACTACCCCCCTCCCCCTCCCCCTCCCCGTCCCCCCTCAGGGTTTCCGAGGATCACCGGGTGGGAATCGCTGGGGGTCGTAGGGGGTCGCCGCTCCCTCGTGTCGCATTAGCTGATCCACTTGGGGGGGCGGTGGCGGCGTGGGGGCGGCGGGGAAAAGCGGAGGAGACGCCCACCCACGCGCAGGATCCCCTTATGGAAATGAATGAATAAATCATCTCTTTATTTGTTTTTTCTTTTTGTATCTGTGCATGTTGCCATCTTTTCAGGATTTTTTTATGTAAGTGTACTTTTATGCATATCAAGCTGTCTGTATTTAATTGTCTGTACATGTATATAAATATACATAAGTGTATGCAATTACACACACACACACACACACACACACACACACACACCACACACACACACACACACACACACACACACACACGCTACACACACACACACGCAAATACGCACACACACACACACACACACACACACGCACACACACACACACACACACGCACACACACACACACACACACACACACACACACACACACACACACACACACACAACACACACACACACACACACACACACACACACACACACACACACACACACACACACACACACACACATCATCACACGGACAAACATTTTCATGCATATCAGAGATCGCAAGAAATAGCGTACT